GTCCTAAAAACAGAACCTGTTTTGTCTTTGCCTAACCAGCCAAATGCTGGTTCCGCTGGTTTCCCCTGGCCCTGTAGCATGCAGATACAGACAAACAACATCCAACCTTCACCTAAATTGTACCCCTATAGTGCCTGCCCTGCTACACTATAGTCAACCAAACAAAACAGTACAATTTCGAGTTGGATAGAACTGAATCTGCGCAATCAAGTAAGTTGAACCGCAAAGCTTCCATCTTGGGTTCCTTTGCGAGCTCGTCCTTTCTGCTTGTACTGTTCATAGCGCGTACAATGTTATGCCGAAGCGCACATTGTGCGAGTACCTGCAAATGCTTCAAGCGAAAATTGCGAAAGCAAACAAACACACGAACATACCATTCACACGCAAATGCACTCGCACACGCATACTCGTACAAACAGACGGCAGGATGTCGTGCAATGTGAATTTGCACCTAACACACTGAGCAGCTCGAAGGTCTTATAGAGCGTCGTCAGCCTGCGTCTCGTCCTGTGTCGCCTGTTTGCGCTGTGCGCACTGGTCGTCGTGTTCCACGTGAGCGTCCTCCTCCTGTCCCCTACACGCACCAGATGGCACTTCGTCCTTCCTCTGTTCCACTTCGTGTTCCTTTGCCTTCTCCCCCAGCGTCCTCTCTTGCTGACAGTCCGAACCCGGAGTCTGAATTACTTCGTGCTGCCAGCCCTACTGTCACGCGTTTGCTAGCATCTATTGTCACTGACCTTCGTTTGAGTCCGCTGCTGCGTCTGCCTTAGTTACTGAGCTTGTCGACTTTGCTGCTCGCTGTCATCTCGACTTCACCGCGAGCCTTGTTGCTGAGTCTGGGTCTGCTTGTCCTCCGTCCGTCAGGGGTGAGTGTGCTCTTGGCACGGACGTCCTTGAGGATAGGTAGGAGGACTTTGAGTGTTTTGCAGCTACTGTACCTCATCTTATCCATGATGATTGCACCTAAGGGCGACCCGGATGCACCAGACATCCCGACCCCGCGCTCTTACGCAGAGGCGATAAAGGGTCCCTACTCCTCTCAGTAGCAGTTATCCATGGACGCAGAGATGGCATCCTGGAAGTCCACAGGCACCTACGTTGACGAGGTTCCCCCACTTGGGGTGAACATCGGCAGTAGCATGTGGATTGTTAGGGTGAAGCGGTAGCCGGGTTCTCTGCCTGTCTTCAAGGCGCGTTACGTTGCATGAGGCTTTGGTCAGCAACAGGGAGTTGACTTCTTCCAGAACTTCTCCCCTACCTAGAAGATGACCACTCTTCATGGGCTGCTGCACGTCGCCGCTCAGCATGACTACGAGCTTCACTCTCTTGACTTCGGCACAACTTTCTTACAAGGCAGTCTGCACGAGGAGATCTGGCTGCGGCCCCCCACCTGGCTTCACTAGGTCGTTTCCTGCAGGTACCGAGTGGAGCCTCCGGCGGCCAGTCCACGGTCTCTGCCCGGCACCTCGTGAGTGGCACGACACACTGAGGCAACGCTCACACTGCTGACCCGTTGTTGTTTCTGCGTACCGACACTTCGCTACCGCCGTTCTACATCTTCGAATATGTCAATGACTTGGTCTTTGCGACTGCTAACACTGAGGGACTCGCGCACGTGAAGTCGGAGCTGTAGAAGAGACACACGTGCACAGACCTGGGTGAGCTGCGCAGCTATCTTGGTTTGCAGATCACACGGGACAGAGCACAGCGCACCATTACCTTGACTCAGTCACACATGGTGCAGCAGGTTCTTCAGCGCTTCTGCTTCACGTACTCCTCGCCACAATCCACTCCTCTGTCTACCGGTCACTCGCTCTTAGCTCTGCCTTCGGATGAGTCCGCAGAGCCGAGTGGCTCGTATCCACAGCTTGTGGGCTGCCTCATGTACCTGATGACCTGCACTCGACCTAACCTTGCTTACCCTCTTAGCATCCTGGCACGCTACGTTGCGCCCGGGAGACACCGACCAGAGCACTGGAAGGCCGCTAAGAGGGTGTTGCGCTACTTGTGCAATACGTCGGGCATGGGGCTCGTGTTTGGAGGACGGGCTCGAGTTGTTCTCACTGGACACGCAGGCGCTTCTAGGGTTGACGACTTGGCTACGCAGCGGTTGTCACAGGGTTACACCTTCAGCCTTGGCTCCGGCTCTGTTTCTTGACGGTCTACCCGCTCGTCTCCTGTTCTTAGTTTCAGTTGTGAGGCTGAGATCTACGCAGGGGCCATGGCTGTATAGGAGTTACGCTGGCTCACCTACCTGCTGACCGAATTAGGCGAGCCGCCTCGTTCTCCTCCTGTTTTGTACGTCGACAACAAGGCCACGATTTCCTAGTATTAGGAGCACAGACTGGAGCACAGGACGAAGCACATCGCTCTGCGTTACTTCCTTGCTCGATATTTGCAGCAGCGTGGTCACCTTCGTCTTGCTTACGTGGCCTCTCGGGCCAACACTACTGATATCTTCACCAAGGCACTTCATGTCAAATTATATATATGCTGTATATGTTTAGGCTCTAGTGGGGTAACCAATATGGGGTACAGCCCCTTTAGGGTTTCATCATTGTACACAACTCTTTCCTAGTTCATTCATTTTTTTCCTGCCTAGCATTATAGATATGGCTTCAGAGCAGTAGGTCCATAGGACCGTCTTACTTCGGGCCCAACTACCGTTGCGGTTACCACGCTGCCCCACCTGCCTTGCCTGCGCTGCGCCTCACGCGCGCGCCCTGCCTTGCCTGCGCTGCGCTGCCCGCGCGCGCTGTTCCTTTTTTTTTTTTTTTTTTTTTCGCACGCGCCACTCTAGCAGCGTGCTGCTGCTCCGCGCACCGCGTCCACCCCCCACGTAGCCCGCTGCCGCCCGCGCGCAGTCTGCTGCTGCCCCGCGCGTCACGTTTGCCGGTCGCGCAGCCCGCGGCTTCTCCCCGCGCCGCCTTAGGAGCTAGCGCGCGGCTCGCTACTGCTCCGCGCGCCGCGTTTGGAGCCTGCGCGCGGCCCGCTGCTGCCCTGCGCGCCGCCTTAGGAGCCCGCGCGCGGCCCGCTGCTGCCCCGCGCGCCGCCTTAGAATCCCGCGCGCGGCCCGCTGCTGCCCCGCGCGCCGACTTAGGAGCCCGTGCACGGCCCGCTGCTGCCCCGCGCGCCGCCCTAGCCACTTGCGCGCCGACTCAGCAGCTCGTGCGCCGCCACTGCAGCCTTGCGCGCAGCGTCTCCTGGCCTGCACTCTGCTTTGCCGCCTGCGCGCTACTCTTGCTGAGAAAACTGAAACGAGAATGACTGAACTATGAATGAACTGAGTACAAGTACTAACCCTAATTGGGTTGCACCCCTTATGGGCTACCCCACTATAGCCTACACAATAAGCACAAGCTATATGTTCTGACACACCCCCATAGGCAAAGTGGGGGAGAACAAGAGGTCACAAGACCAGTCAAGCAAAGCAAAGCAAAGCAAGCTCAGGGTGGATCACAAAGTCACCACACATTCCGAGCACAAAGTCAAGGCACCAAGGCCAGTTCACATGCAGGAGTACATATATATAAAGGACTAGACAAGCAAGAGCAGGTGTATATATATGCAACAGTACAAGCAAGGTCAAGAGGTAAGTAAGTGAGGCAAGACAGGCACAAGACCCAGCTGCGTGCAGAAGCGCTGATGATCACAAGGTGCAAGTGCCTTGGTGAAAACATCAGCAGTGTTGGCCTCAGAGGCCACGTACGCAAGCCGCAACTGACCACGCTGCTGTAGCTCACGAGCAAGAAAGTAGCGAAGAGCAATGTGCTTTGTTCTGTGCTCCAGTCTCTGCTCTCGACACAAGGCCAGCATGGCCTTGTTGTCTACGTACAGGATTGGAGGAGAACGAGGCGGCTCTCCAAGGTCGGTCAGCAGGTAGGTGAGCCAGCGAAGCTCCTGTTCAGCCATGGCCCCGGCGTAGATCTCAGCCTCACAACTGGAGCCGAGAACAGAAGACGAGCGAGTAGCCCGCCACGAAACAGAGCCGGAACCAAGGCTGAAGGTGTAGCCATGTGACGACCGCTGCGTAGACATGTCGTCAGCCCAAGAAGCGTCCTCGTGCCCTGTAAGGACCACTGGACTCCGCCCTCCAAGCACTAGCCCCATGCCCGACGTACTGCACAAGTAGCGCAACACCCTCTTCGCTGCACCCATGTGCTCTGGTCGGTGTCTACCAAGAGCAACATAGCGTGCGAGAATGCTAAGAGGGTATGCAAGGTCAGGTCGTGTGCAGGTCATCAGGTACATGAGGCAGCCAACAAGCTCTGCATACGGGCCACTCGACTCTACGGACTCATCCGAAGGCAGAGCTAAGAGCAAGTGGCGAGTAGGCAGAGGAGTGGCCTGAGGCGAGGAGTACGTGAAGCCGAAGCGCTGAAGGACCTGTTGTACCATGTGTGACTGAGTCAGAGTAATGGTGCGGCGTGCTCTGTCTCGGGTGATCTGCAAGCCAAGGTAGCTGCGCAGTTCACCCAGTTCTGTGCACGTGTGTCTCTTCTGCAGCTCGGACTTCACGTGGGCGAGTCCAGCAGTGTCAGCTGTGGCAAAGACCAAGTCGTTGACGTACACGAGGATGTAGAACGGCGGCAAAGAAGTGTCGGTGCGCAGAAACAGCGCGGGTCGGCAGTAGAAGGAGCAAACCCAAGAGCCGCAAGCGTAGTCCTCAGTGTGTCGTGCCACTCACATGACGCCTGGAGGAGACCGTAGACTGGACGCCGGAGACTCCACTGAGTACCTGGAGGGAAAGACCCAGTGAAGCCAGGTGGGCGGCGCAGCCAGATCTCCTCATGCAGGCTGCCCTGCAAGAAAGCTGTGCTGAAGTCAAGAGAGTGCAGCTCGTAGTCACGGTGAGCAGCAACGTGTAGTAGTACCCGAAGAGTGGTCATCTTCGGGGTGGGAGAGAAGGTCTGAAAGTAGTCAGCTCCCTGCCGCTGACTGAAGCCACGAGCCACGTAACGCGCCTTGAAGACAGGCGGAGAACCCGGCGGCCGCTTCACCTAGAAAATCCACATACCACAGACGATGTTCGCCCCAGGCGGGGGAACCTCGTCAACGTAGGTGCCTGTGGACTTCGAGGAAGCCATCTCTGCGTCCATAGCTGCCTGCCACTGAGAGGAGTAGGGACCCTCTATCGCCTCCGCGTAAGAGCGCGGAGTCGGGATGTCAAGTGCATCCGGGTCTCCCTCAGGGGTAAGTAGTACGGACACGAGATGAGGTGAAGCAGCTGCCAAGCACTGGAACTCCTCCTGCCTGTCCTCAAGGACGTCCGTGCCAAGGGCACACTCACCCCTGACGGACGGAGGACAGACAGACTCAGACTCAGCGACAAGACTAGCAGCGTAGTCTAGACGAGCTCAGCAACTAAGGCAGACGCAGCAGTGGACTCGAAGGAAGGGTCAGTGACGACAGTAGCCAGGAGACGCGTGACAGTAGGACTGGAAGAGAGTCCGACTCCGGGTCGGCAAAAGCAGGAAGAGAGGACGCAGGAGGACAAGGCAAAGGGGCACGTAGAGGAGCAGTGGAGGGACGCAGAGACATCCGGTGCGTGCCAGGGACAGGAGGAGGACGCTGACGCGAACCACGATCACTAGCGCGAGCAGCACGGACAGGCGACGCAGGGCGAGACGCAGGCTAACGACGCTCAGCAAGACCTCCAGTAGGACCACTGTAGGGAGAAGGAGCAGGCAAAGAGGAGGTAGGCTGCAACTGTAACTGTGACGGGACTGGCTGTGGACACTCTAAAGAAGGACGAGGACCAGTAGAAGGCGGAAGACCAAGAACCTGCTGCAGGAGTGGAACGAAGTACTGTCGAGGCCGCGCAGCGCACCAGACACAGCAGGTACAGCACCAGCACCCCCAGCAGGAGCACCCGCTCCAGCTGCACCTCCAGTAGCGCCAGAACCTCGAGTAGTACCAGGAGTACTCGCAGCAGGACCGCCAGTAGTAGTCTCAGCTCCAACACCCTCAGCAGCACCAGCTCCAGTCGAACCCGCAGGCCCAGCAGCTGCAGTACTCCCAGTACGAGCACCTCTGTGACCCTCGACAGCAGTACCCTCAGTAGCCGAAGAACCTCCAGCACCAGCAGCACGCCTCCAGCGCCGGGCAAACCATCGCGAAGCTCCTGTGGAGAGAGTGGCTCCCGCATAGAATTGTGTACCCCCTATAGGCTAACCCACTGTAGCCTAAACTAACACAACATATATAATGTTTGACACACCCCTATAGGCAAAGTGGGGGAGAACTAGGGGTCACAAGACCAGTCAAGGCAAAGCAAGGCAAAACAAGCTCAGGGTGGATCTCAAGGATACCACACAAATTCCGAGCACAAGCAAGTGGTCACAAGACCAGTTCACATGCAGGTTTATAATAGAGCAAAAGGTACAATGATCACAACCTAACAAGAGTAAACATGCAGGTATATATATAGAGATCACAGTACAAACAGACTCAAGAAGTAAGCAAGTGAGGTCCAGTAGGCACAAGGCCTAGAAGAGTGCAAAAGCGCTGATGGTCACAAGGCTGAAGCGCCTTGGTGAACACATCAGCAGTGTTGGCCTCAGAGGCCACGTAACGCAGGCGAAGTTGACCACGCTGCTGCAGCTCTCGAGCAAGGAAGTAACGCAGAGCAATGTGCTTCGTTCTGTGCTCCAGTCTGTGCTCCTCACACAAGGCAATGGCTGCATTGTTGTCGAGGTACAGCACTGAAGGAGAACGAGGCTGCTCTCCAAGGTCGGTCAGCAAGTAGGTGAGCCAGCGTAGCTCCTGGGCCGCCATGGCTGTGGCGTAGATCTCAGCCTCACAACTGGAGCTGAGAACAGAAGAAGAGCGAGTAGAACGCCAAGAAACAGAACCAGAGCCAAGACTGAAGGAGTAACCCTGAGACGACCGCTCAGTAGCCTGGTCGTCTGCCCAAGAAGCGTCTGAGTGCCCAGTGAGAACAACTGGGACTCGCCCTCCAAGCACTAGCCCCATGCCCGACGTACTGCACAAGTAGCGCAACACCCTCTTAGCTGCATCCATGTGCTCCTTCCGGTGACGGCCGGGAGCGACATAGCGTGCAAGAATGCTGAGAGGGTATGCAAGGTCTGGTCGAGTGCAGGTCATCAGGTACATGAGGCAACCAACAAGCTCTGGATACGGGCCACTCGGCTCTACTGACTCATCCGAAGGCAGAGCTGAGAGCGAGTGACCAGTACGCAGAGGAGTGGGCTGAGGCGAGGAGTACGTGAAGCGGAAGCGCTGAAGGACCTGCTGCACCATGTGTGACTGAGTCAAGGTGATGGTGCGGCGTGCTCTGTCCCGGGTGATCCGCAAGCCAAGATAGCTTGTCAGTTCACCCAGGTCTGTGCACGTGTGTCTCTTCTGCAGCTCCGACTTCACGTGGGCGAGTGCCACACTGTCAGCAGTAGCAAAGACCAAGTCGTCGACGTACACAAGGACGTAGAATGGCGGCAGTGAGGTGTCGGTGCGTAGAAACAGCGACGGGTCAGCAGTAGAAGGCGCGAACCCAAGAGCCGCAAGCGTAGTCCTCAGTGTGTCGTGCCACTCACGAGGCGCCTGGCGGAGATCGTAGAATGGCCGTCGTAGGCTCCACTGGGTACCAGGAGCGAACGACCCAGTGAAGCCAGGTGGACGGCGCAGCCAGATCTCCTCGTGCAGGCTGCCCTGCAGGAAAGCAGTGCTGAAGTCAAGCGAGTGGAGCTCGTAGTCACGCTGAGCGGCGACGTGCAGCAGAACCCGAAGACTGGTCATCTTCGGGGTCGGGGAGAAGGTCTGAAAGAAGTCAACTCCCTCTCGCTGACTGAAGTCTCGTGCAACGTAACGCGCCTTGAAGACAGGCGGAGAGCCCGGCGGCCGCTTCACCCTGAAAATCCACATGCCACTGACGATGTTCGCCCCAGGTGGGGGAACCTCATTGACGTAGGTGCCTGTGGACTTCCAGGAAGCCATCTCTGTGTCCATGGCTGACTGCCACTGAGAGGAGTAGGGACCGGCCATCGCCTCTGCGTAAAAGCGTGGGGTCGGGATGTCTGGTGCATCCGGGTCTCCCTCAGAGGCAACAAGCATGGACACGAGATGGGGCAAAGCGGCAGCAAAGCACTCAAACTCCTCCTGCCTGTCCTCAAGGACGTCAGTGCCAAGAGCACACTCACCCCCGACGGACGGAGGACAGACAGACTCAGACTCAGCAACTAGGCTAGCAGCGTAGTCTAGACGACAGCGAGCAGCAAAGTCGACAAGCTCAGCAACTAAGGCAGACGCAGCAGCAGACTCAAAGGAAGGGTCAGTGACAACAGTAGCCAGGAGACGCGTGACAGTAGGACTGGTAGCACGAAGAGAGTCTGATCCAGGGTCAGCAAGAGCAGGAAGAGAGGAAGCAGGAGGAGACGGCAGTGGGACACGCTGTGGAGCAGTGGACGGACGAAGCGCCATCCGATGAGTGCCTGGGACAGCAAGAAGACGCTGACGCTGGACTCGACTACTGGAGAGAGCAGTGCGGACAGGCGACTCAGGACGAGACTCAGGCGACGCAGGACGAGACGCAGGCTCACGCCGCTCAGTAAGACCTCCAGTCGGACCAGTGTAAGGAGCAGTACCAGGGAGAGAGGAGGCAGACGGTAATGCCGACTGTAGCTGGACAGGCGGAGGACACGCTAAGGAGGGAGGAGGAAAAGGAGGAGGAAGCTGACCAAGAACCTGCTGAAGGAGCGAAACAAAGTACGGCCGAGACCGAGCAGTGACACCAGAGCCAGCAGGGACACCCGCACCAGGGTCCGCAGCACCAGCAGCAGCTCCAGCGCCCACGTCCTCAGCACCAGCGGCAGCTCCAACGCCCGGGTCCTCAGCACCAGTAGCAGCTCCAACGCCCGGGTCCGCAGCTCCAGCGGCAGCTCCAACGCGTTGGTCCTCAGCACCAGCAGCAGCTCCAACGCCCGGGTCCTCAGCACCAGCAGCGGTTCCAACGCCCGGGTCCTCAGCACCAGCAGCAGCTCCAACGCCCGGGTCCTCAGCACCAGCAGCAGCTCCAACGGCAGCGGGGTCCGTAACACAAGGCACGCCACTCCGAATAGTGCAGCGCCGCTCGTACCACTCACGGATCCGCTCGCGGGAGGGGAGCTCCCGAACGGGAGAAGAAGCACTAGCACCAGTCCCAGTAGTACGTCCGGCTCGAGCGGTACCTCTCCGGAGGCTGCAGTACTCTAAGTACCACGCACGCAGCTGCTCCGAGGAGAGGGCTCCTCCAGGTGCAGGACTCCCAGGCCTAGTACCTCCAGACTCAGAACCCCCAGACTCCGGACTCCGCAGCTCAGCACCACGAGGCTCCACACCCCCAAACTCAGCACCCTCAAGTTCCACACCCCTAGGCTCCACACCCCCAAGCTCCACACCCCCAGGCTCCACACCCCCAGGCTCCACACCCCCAGGCTCAGCACCTCCAGGCTCAGCACCCCCAGCAGGACGAGAGTCGACAACTACCTCAACAGGCTCAACCGGGTCTACCTGAGACACACCTGAGGGAGCGGCACCCTGAGGGGGGAGGGGGTCTGCAACAGCAGCACCTGGCGCGAGGAAGAGAGGCGGGGGGGGGGGAGCGGGGCAGTGCGGTAGGGGAAGAGGCGGTAGTAGGGGACGGACTCGTCAAAAGTGACGTCCTGGGAGGGCAAGACTCGGCGCGAGGTGGCGTGGTAGAACTGCCAACCAGACGCGTCCGGGACAAAGCCGAGGAAGACGCAGGGAACAGCACGGGAGGAGAGCTTGTCCGCAGACGAATCGCGGACAAAAGCTCGAGACCCCCAGACCCGGAAACGCGACGCATCGCCAACCTCCCCCGTCCACAGCAGCGTGGGCGAGGTCTCCGGCAAGGAGACATGGGGCCAGAGGTTGAGCTGATGCGCAGCGTACCGGACCGCAAACGGCCACAGAAAGTGGGGGGCAGCCGCATGGATCAAGGAGGTACGGGCGACCTCCATGACCAGGCCAATGCGGCGCTCCGCAACCCCATTCTGCTGTGGAGAAGCCGGAAGCGTGAACGACTGCTCAATGCCGTGCTCAGCACAGTAGGCTGCCAAGAGGTCGGAGGAGAACTCACCACCTCTGTCAGAGTGCAAGCGCAGGACAGGAAAGTCCGAGTGAAAACGCTCGCTGAGCTGGAGACGGGCTCTGCGGATCCAAGGGATCAAGACATCAGGGACCTCACCCTTGGTGCGCAAGGGGAAGACCGTGGTGTAGCGCGAGTAGTCGTCAACAACTATCAGGAAGTACCTCTCCTGACCCTGACCACGGACGCGGGCTGGGCCCCACACGTCCATGTGGAGTGTCTGCAAGGGAGCAGTCGTCGGGGGGAACGAGGAGGAGTGAGGAGTGGCGCGCTGCCGTCCCTCGACACAGGGGAGACAGGTAGGAGCAGGCGAGGGTGTGAGGGCAGGAAGGACCCTGGGCAGGCCAGAGACAAGGTACCGGGAGTGCATGGCACGAAGCCGCTGCACAGACGGGTGGCCAAGGCGGTGGTGCCAGAGGACAGTCTCGTGTGCCAAAGAGCGACACGAGCAGGGGGCGGACAGCTGACCTGACGCGGACGCGGACGCAGTCGCAGCAACCTGAGGGGACTCAGTAGTCAGTGTGTACAGGTCCGACCCCGGCTGCCGAGTGAAGGTAGCCAAGTGACGGCCCGTACGAGCACACGTGCAGTGTGTCACGCGCTCGTAGGCAGGGGTGAACTGGTGAACACCCCCGTCCTGGAGTGCACATCCTGCCACCAAGTTCGTAGAGAACGAGGGGAGGTGGAGACCTGACAGTGTGCCCGACGGGACCGCAGGGCAGGGAAGGACAGTGGAAGAGGTCGCAATGACCGGACCCCCAGAGGGGTCAGCAAGGGAGACAGCAACTGGCCGAGCAAGCGGCTCAAGGGCAGTGCGGTCACGAAAGAAGCAGCGAGAAGCACCTGAGTCCAGTGTGAAGGTGTGCAGTGCGGCAGTCGATGCAGTACCAAGGGGGGGAGACACACGAGCACCTAGAGCAGCAGCCTCACCAGCACCTGGGGTAGCCGACACGCGAGTACCTGGAGCGGCAGACGCACTGGCCCTAATGCCCGGGTCGGGCGGCACACACAAGTACTCAGCACCCTCTCCACTAGAATACATCACA